GTAATAAAATTTTGATGTACCAACTACTAACTAATAAATATGCGTTGAGTCCCTCTTAAAAATGCATGTAAAACAGAATACAATTGCTTGTTTGCAAGCTACACAATTTTCCAAGATTTCCCCTAGGATTTCATAGCCATTGGTCATAGACTTAACTCAGTGAGTCAAATTCTTTCAGACTACATAAATCGATCCGAATTCACAGCTGATAAGCTTAGTCCCAGTTAGGCATTCAGTGTTTAAATAATCTTTATCTTGTTAGCAAACACTATCGGTTGACATCATGATGCATGGCATTCTAATTCACATAAAATACAAAAATGATCGACTGGTATGTATGTACATGCATCAAGACAGACTGAAACACTGAAATCTTTGTCTTAACATCCAGGGACTTGAAATACTAATCTTCAAATCAGTTAATCTTTTGAAAAATGCCTTCCTACTCTGCAAGCAAAAGTATACATTTAACCTAAACTATACAATACTGTAAAACTATGATATAATGAGAAAATCTAGTATTCTTATTACATGGTTGGAGGGAATCGGCAGGAAGCCTTGTTTCACCTAGGTTTCGTGCTAGTTGGCACTCATCAGTCACTATGGCGTATCTCATTTCCCTTCTGAGATTTGGATCCGCGTCACCCAGTGCTGTCTACAGCCACAGACCTTACCACTGAGCTATTCAGGCTCGCGATTGACCTCCTGTATGACTGTATTGGATACTTTGATTGGACACTAATAACTAGCGTGATGTGTCTAGTCCTCCTGTCTTTGGGGCAGACTGAATTCTATCAGTCCACTAGTTTGCAATGTGGCCACCATTCTAGGTAGCTCGCCATCACGGTGCACGCTGATTTGATGATATTAGATAGTTGGAGGGAATCGGCAGGAAGCCTTGTTTCACCTAGGTTTGGTGCTAGTTGGCACTCGTCAGCAAGGCTGACTGACTTTGACTGCAGCACTAGGTGATACGGGTTCGAATCTAAGAAGGGACATAAGTTCCTTCAAGGTTGCAGACACACCTTGTTGGCTGGCGAGTGCCAACTATCATGAACCCTGCGTCAAGCAAGACTTCCTGCTGATTGCCTCCAGCCATCTAATATCATCAAATCAATCTGCACCGTGATGACAAACTACCAAGAATGGTGGCCACATTACAAGCTTGACTGATAGAATTCAGTCCGCACCAAAGAAAGGACTAGACGCATAACACTAGTTACTAATGTCTAATCAAAATTCTAGTATTCTTATATTGGAAGGATGAAATCAAAGTGGAGAGACTGCATTATTTAAAAGTTTTCACTATCTTACATAAGCGTAACTGAAAACACATAATCTAAAATGAATACCTTCTTTTGTGAAAAACATCTCGTAATTTCTTGTCCTCTTGATGGCAACTCTTGACTTTTTCCTCCTCTAGTTCTTGACATTTTACTGACACAATGTCTAAAAGTGTGCTGATTGTGTTGCATTTCATTTGGTATACTTTTACTTTATGCTCTTATTTATAGATATGATGTTGGAGTATATTCAGTTATTTTCTTCTAGACCCTGCAATCTAGTCATTCATGAGTAAAATGCTGGAGGATCAGTATCTTGATACTATTTAATGAATTGTACTCACCCTATTACTAAAACTATTAGACGATTCTGTCACTCTAAATATCTAAATTCCTGTTGTTACAAATCAGTAACTAGATTGTGAAACACACCTAATACATGCAAATCGACTATTCAAAAAGCGTAAAACTTGATGAATAGGACTTCAAACTTATGACCGCTTGGTTAAACATCATACCTCCAAGGCAATTAGACAAAGCCCCCCTCCCTATGATCTAGTAATAAACGGTGGCACAGTGGTTAGGACTCTCGCCGACCATGCACATGGTCCGGGGTTCGAGCCCACGCCGGCGCACACCTGATATCTATGGTCGGCCTGCAAAATTTGGGCTACCGATATCCATGCTGAAAATTCCATACTTGTACCGAAAATACAGTGTGGAATCAAGCTGTAAATCAAAAATAAAAATAAATAAAATAAAAATAAAAACACAGATTTTGTTCAACGAAGGAAAATTTCTTTCCAGAGAATTTAGCTGATTGATTACATTGGATGTTGTAAGTGTGTTCTCTGTAAACGCCTAGCCAACCATTACCCGATTTGGTTAATGAAAGGTGAGCACAAAGGACGATGAAGTCTTCAATCTGTGAACGAACACCTTCTATAGTTAGGTCATTCAGTCAGAACCCCCTCCCCTACACACCCACATACATGATTTATCCTTTAAAGTTATCTACAGGATCAAATCCAACCACTCCAAAAATAGCGTTTTCTTCAATCATGCATACCGCAAACTCTAGCTATACACAGACAGAAACTTAAAGTGTGTTGAAAAATTGTTTTGTTAAACCCCTTTCCTTACCTTGGTGATAGTTATGTTCTTTTATTTTATTCTATTTTACCACTTGAATTCATTATACTTCATTACATCTTCGCCTTCTTTATTGTTATCATCATCGTACTCTTAGCTCTTTAAAAACATACTTGGCCTGTTACTTTTAAAATATTAATACCAGATCACTTATTTAATAATCTTTGCAAGTATTTAAATGATGGATGTTGACTAGCAGTTGAATCCAGAATGCACATTTCGTCCTATTTGGGACTCGTCGACTGAATGTACCTGAATTTCTCAGTGAGTGATGATGTTCCCACCGAGGCTCGAACCCAGTGCCCATAGTTTCAAATGCCAAAGCGTTATCCACTAGACCACTTGGACCACAAGAGCCACCTCTTGTGCAAGGGGTCATATTAATTTAATTTAATCTGAGATTTTCCCGTCGATTGATTGAACCGAAAGTCTGTCTGTCTGGATTCAACATAGAACTTGGCACCGAAGTGCAGCAGTTCGAGTTGCCACGTTCCAAATAGCACACAGAGGTAGACAAGAAGATGAGTGAAGAGAATTAATAGAGTTTGACAAATATAAGAGTGAAACAGAATGGGTAATGGTAGAAAGGAATATGAAAGATTACAGAGATTGAATACATCTGCGCCATTGACAACGATTTTGAGCCATGTCACCTATTGTCTCCAGCCATTGATTCCTAGAGTCCCGAGGGCCCCAACCCGGGAGTCTGCATCTCCCTACCTGACTCAGTTTAACTGTCAAGGATTTCATGGATTGATGCCATGTTTTTGTTTGGCCACCACTGGCTCTTTTCCAACCTGAACCTATATCAGCTAACAATGCCCGTCGGGGGAGGCGGTGGTTAGGCATGCGCACCACGTGACCTAGCCATCTTAGTCTATGTAACTTTATAACCTCGTCGATTGATTTTCCCTCTTTGCCCAACACTCTACGCCTAACGTCAACATTACTTATCTTGTGAAACCACCTAACGTGAGACAGAGATCGCAGACATCTATGATCGAAAGCAGTCAACCTTTTCATGTCTTCAACGCGTATTGGCCATGTTTCAGAGCCATAGAGAAGGACGGAGCGAACTGATGAGCAGTACACACGTCCCTTGGTTGATAACCGGATGTCACGCCTACGCCAGAGATGGTGTAAGTCAGCGAAAGCAGCTCGAGCTTTTCGGATCCGTGCTGAGATTTCATCGCCAATCAGTCCGTTGGTGCTAATACAACTTCCCAAGTAGGTGAAGTGGTCAACATGTTCTATCACTTCACTCCCTATCACTAAGTTAGGGGTTGACGTGGTCCAGTCCTGTAGCAGCATCTTACATTTTGCAGGGGCGAATCGCATGCCAAACATACGAAGATTGCTGCTCAAGGTGTTCAGAAGACTCTGCATTTTGTCAGCATCCTCCCCTAACAGGACTATGTCATCTGCATATTCTAAGTCCATTAGATTATTCCCTGGTAACAAGTCGATTCCTAAGTCACTACGTTCAGTTAAGGATACTTCCATTAGCATATCTATGATGAAGTTAAACAGAAATGGGGAAAGTGGACATCCCTGTCGGACACCACTGGTTGTTACCAATTCAGATGACAATTCCCCATAAGCCCTTACACGACTACGTGAGTTTGAATAGAGTGCCTTGATTAGTGCAATGTACTTTCTTGGCACTCCCTTCACAGTCAGACATTGCCATAGTACCTTTCGATCCACGGAGTCGAAGGCCGCCTTCAAGTCAAGAAATATGACAATTGTTGGACGCCGAAAAGTGTGTCTATGTTCTAGAATCTGTCGAAGAGTGAAGATATGATCTATGCACCCTCTACCTGGTCTAAAGCCTGCTTGATTTTCCCTTGTCTGTTCCTCCCGAGTTCTGCTTAGTCTATGCATGATTACTGAGCCTAGGATTTTAGAGACTATGTTCGTTAGGCTGATCCCCCTATGATTATCACACATGACATGTCGGCTTCTTGTGAAGATCCTTCAACGATGCGCATCCTGGACTCCACTGCTAATCACCATCCACCAATTAAATACTCATTAAATGCCCAGACATCGTCAAAGCATCTGCACAAGAAGCCGACAGACATGTCAACCTGAGACCGAGCACTCCGGTCCAATCAATCGAGGGGAAAATCTCAAATTCAATTAAAATCTTTACAAGTTTTATAATTCATCCACTTCAACCCTACCCCCTTAGTAGTACATCATTTTAATTATCTTTATTCTTACCATCATGTGTGCAATACTGACTGAGCGATTTCTAGTTCCATGTGATACATTCCTTTTCCGTAATAGCTTGAAAAGGGAGACGCTGGAAAGAAATATTTCTTCGATGAACAAAAAAAACGACTGTGTTTTTCCTTATGAACTAATAGGTATTTTTTGCGATTAATAGTTAACTGAATAAGATCGTTTTGGTGGTTCACTGCTTGTATGAATACTAAATACTAGTTCCGGTGGAATTATACATTTTTATGACGAATAATGAGTACATCTATCTTTTAGCAATGAGCGAAAGAGCAGTATTATATTTCGACAATGTTTTATTTATTTAAAAAACTCAAATAAAGTAAGAAATTATCTAAAACAAATTATACTTTGAATTATACAGCTGAATCCATAGCAACATTGGATTGTAGATGAGAAACAGAACTATGAGGTCTTGCTTGCCTTGGCATAGTCCCATCATATCTTGATTCAGTTTTAATATTAGGCATATATAAAGACTGTGCTGAAGTTGGAGCATAAACATTTTCTGCTTTTTGAGTTAATTCACTTTCTGCTGCGCGTAAATTCGCCTCCAAAACAGCAATCCTCTGAGCTTCTAGTGATTCTCTCAGTTTAGCAGACACAGTAGCTGCAGATGTTCCAGCTGCATTTCCTCCTACAGCTCCTGGAGCTATAGTACTTCTGCTCAAAATACTCGACATACCAGGAGCCATAAGAGTACTAGTCGGACCAGTTTGTGATCCAGGCTGATAACCAGCAAAAGTTGAAGGAACTGTTGTGAAGAGTGAAGGAACTGTGCCAGTACCGCCAAGTTTTGATTCTGTTGGAGCGCCAACACCACCTTTTTCAGTAACATCGTAATGTGAAAGTTGTCTCTGAGATTTATAGTATCCCTCACTTCCGAGTAGTTTTTGTCGCATAATAGGATCTTGCATTAACCGTTTACTTTCGACTGATAAATAATGTGTCACCAAACCGAAAAGACAAAAGACTGTAAAAAATCCAGCCAACACAGCAAATGCAAAGCTCCAAGACAGCATGTTTAAATCAGGTCTTGGTAACCATCCACGATCTTTACTCATAACTCCCATATATATAGTGATGATTACAAAACAGGCAACTAAATGAAGTGTTTGAAGAAAAAAAACAGTTAAGAAAAAAATTACAATTTTTACTGTATTAGTCTATGCACATGTTAAAATATACGATTTATCCACATACGCTGCTACCTGCAGCTGTGCATCCCAATTAACTCTTGTTGATATTTTTATGTATTAACAGGTATATCATGCTCTGTGTTGAAGGATTTATCATAATATTCAATTCTATAGGCTGTATATTTCTATGCTGTAACTAGTGGAATTCTGTTGAGTACCATTTTAATAACTGTGACGGAACTGGATGATGGGAGCGTTTATAGCCTTTGTTACGTAAGTCCTTTTCGCTGCCCTCACGTTTCAGGGCGGATCGGGTAAATGCAGATGTCCAGTGATTGCAAACGGACTGGTGGGCATGCAGGTCTACCTAGGAGAGCAAGAAAACCCTGATCCTAAACCTTCGATGTACAAAGGCTCCAAAATCCGAAAGAATCCAATGCCGAAATAACTTGTTTTAGTCGCCATCAACCATAGGAAAGCAGCTTCTGACGCTGCTTCACTGCTTTGAGGATCAAAGTCTAAGTTAAATGCTTCGGTCTGGGTGTCTAAGAACTATTCCAGACCTCGCAAAAACTACGAGATTTTGCGTGGTTCATCTCTTAGTGCCAGTAATATTCTAATTTTGTATTTTAGTAATAAATTATAAATGAATATATGTCCTGAAGGCTGTTAGCATACCATTCTGATAGTACTAGCAAATACCGTGCCAAGATTAAGCAAAGCTTTCCTTAAATTCCTTTGAGTTATCTACGCTGTGTACTTCACAAACTTTTATAATCATATCTGATAGAATTTAACCAGAATAGTCACATAGCGAAACATAAATGTGGAGAGTTGACATTACAAAGTAATGGATTTACCCACTGCTTATGATCTAATATACTGAATGATAAAACACATTAATAAGTTTTCAACTTTTTCATTTATACTTTCACAGCGCCATTGTAATACATATGGGGTATTTAGTATCAATCGAGTATCAGACATGTCATCGAGTCGTGAATAACACACCCTTTATGCTTTCTGAAACTTACTCAATGGCAAAATATATCTTGATTCGAGGTTCGAAACCGCTTCAGAAATGCAGGTTAGAATCGGCACTGTTTCTTTGCGTTAACTTCTACCTTCAAACACGTAGTTTCGTGTCACTTAGCTAAGTAGCTGGATTCTAAACTCAATTAATTAGCTTCAGCCAACGAAAAGACTTGGAAGCTGTATTCATAGATTAATGTGCACTTAAATATACGTGTTTATGGACTTAAATTTTTTAAATTCATTCACTTTTTAAATTTTCGTCATCTAAAATAGTAATCCTGGTTAAACTGATAGGTCTGAGACTAGAAACCGTTAAACTTCCTGTTTAATTAACCCGTAAAAAGATACAAACTACCAACTAACTTTTCTACATCAACTCATTAACAATGTAGCTTTGCTTGTGACTGTTGTTTTTAATTACGTTGTTATTAAATGAGTCACTATGATTTGATTCTTTATTGTAAACCCTCATATACTTTACAACAGTAAAAACAAAGGAGGAAGCACCTGTATGGCCTTAATTTATACCTTCATGTCAGTGAACAATAAAATAAAACCGATATTGCGGTTCTGCACGTTATGATATAAGATATTAGAAGCCGTTACATGATCAATGCACTGCTACTGAAGTTATAGGAAATAAACACTATTTGTATCTATATACTCTAGATGCAGAGAACGCCTGACAATTTACTCTGAGAAAAATATGTACTCAAAATTAGCCACATCTATTATCTGAAGGATGATAATAAATAGCTGTCTAAACTCAAGTCGGTGGAGCATGATTGTAACCTGTGATTAATGAGTGAAGCAAGTACGCCTATATCAACGATTTATAATCCCTAGGTTTCAACTGATTTAAGCATTAGTGATCATACCCTACAAATTAAACTGTTAAACACAAGTTAGGAGCTTAGCTAGCTCTCATAAATATCGATCACATTATAGAAATTAAGACCCTTATTCTAACGCTCACTAACCGTATCCCTGATTACATGCAGTGAAATGCTGACCCTTATCAGGAAAGGCAGAAGTGTCTCCTCAATGATAAGCAAAAAGTCATTTAGATCTTCGTCTCCAAATACACACAAATGCTACTGAATAATAATATACGCAGTCATAATGGAAAGTAATGACAATTATTTGATGAGCAGTATATAATACTTACGAGCAATGGACTGTAAACCGATAATGATAAAATGAGGTTTCCTTTCTTTAGTTCCATAAACTTCGCACAAAATAAGGATGATCATCAAAAGTCCAGCCAAATTGCATATCAGACAAATAATTGACAATATTTGAACAACATAGAACCAAGCTAAAGTAAATTTAGAAATTTAGTATTAAATTACAGTTACATTTTGATGTTGAATTGCAGTTAAATAAGATTACTGATTTTAATGCTTTAACAAACCACCCTCTCCTCAAGAGCATTAGCCCGCATTAATAAAACTTCCTACTTTAACGGTTTCGATTATGTCAGGAAACACACGAGAACTATTCGTTTCGGGCTATACATCCTAGTGAAGAGCGATTTCATGAGACAGTTTCCCGGTCAAAGGCATATTTCTCCACTTACTACAGACATCCTAGTTATTTTTATCAGTGGTATTTCATTAGTTCTCAAATTACACTGATATATAAAACAGATATACAGCAACAATACAAGACGTGTAACTAATAACTAAATGCGTAAGCTGCTGAAAAGTAACTCTCAAACTTCATAGAATGTCATGTGAAAAAGACAAAGAAGCAAAGGTTATGCAAGTAAAAAAGACACTATAGTGTGAGAAAAATGAAAAGATAATACAGAGATACTATTTTTGTAAATAACTACAGGCCGAGTAGGAATAAATCTACGTCACTGTGACCATTTCCTAACTCCACTACAACGAATATGTAGTCATGGGTTTTGGTTATCTTCATCATATTTTGTCGGGGACGGTGTAAGTCGGCAAACTCTGTCAGCCTTCTGTAACCCTACTGCAACTTCGCTGGCACTCATTTCACTACGGCTGAAAAATTTTCTAAATGAGTGGAGTGGTTAACACGCTAATCCACATCACTTCTTATCTTCAGTCGATTTCTCACCAGTCCTGAAGCATCATCGTATATCTGATAAGGGTAAATTGCATGTTAAACATGAGAATATTTCTGCTCAAGATATTTAGAAGACTCTGTATTTTGCCAGTCTTCACTCGGAAACACCTTGTTATCTAAATCGCAGCTGCAGCCTGCCACATAAAACAAATGTTATTAGAAACTGTAACTGTGCCGCAGATTAGTTTCCGCCAATGTGGCACAAGTAATAAAAAAATAAAAAAAAGTATGATTGCAGCATACTATACCATTACTATCTGGAGGTATTTCAAGGATAAATGTAAAAAAGCAAAGCGAAAATGATAGTGACATGGCTTAAAATCGGCAACAACGATGTAAACATATTCAGTTCTTGTAGTCCACTAGACCGTGAACATTTACAATACATGTAAGTGAATAACTTTTCTATTCCACCTTTGCTGCACTCGGTTTACAATAAAAGTATATTGACCTTCGTTAAAATTGCTTTTAACGAAGAACATGAGGATGCTGTCTGAAACATGTTTTAAAACAGTAAATTCAACCAACTTCACTAGTTAGCAATACATACTACAGTGCAAATACTATTTTAAAATATAAAAAACTTTCAAGAAGTTCAAGCCAGTCACTCTAGACCGCATCAATACTAACCATAACAAAACTGTATACGAGTGTAGCACGTAATTGCAAGAAACCTATTAAACCATCATAATTAAACTTACATCAAGTTTCCTATTAGCCCAGAAAATTTTTGTCTAACTCGTCGGCTACCAAACCCTTCAAATTTATCAAAAAACAAAAGTACGTTGTGAATCATACACTTGCGTCTCAAGCATAACATATAGAGTACTGTACCTCAACCATGAAACCAAAAACATTTAGCGAACATATCTATTTCCATAATTCAGTAAAAACCACAAAGTCAATATTTAGCTACTCTGGCTAAACCGCGTCATATATATATATATATATGAATCAAACTGTCTGTACATAAATCAGGTCATTTGACTGGTCGACTAGATGATATATGTGCTTACGTGGATTAAGCCAGAATCTGATATACTTATATTCAGGATAGTAAATGTACCAACATCCCTGATAGGCCTTAGACACATAATCTTCTGGAAAGATGAAATTCTCGAAGCAAACTTCCCATAGGCCAAGTCTTTGAAATCCGATGTTTGAATCTGACTTCGAAACAATCCAGTATGGAGAAACGAATCCAATTATATTGGAGATGGCTGCAAGAAAGGCAAAGGTTACAGCTATCGCAAAAGAAGCATGTTTCCCCCTATGGACAACCAGTTGCATATTTCCGGACTTTCCCAGATTTCAAAGAGAGGCATTAGCAGTAGTAAACGGACGGTAAAAAAGTAATTCGCTTAAACACACCATAGATACAAAACCACATTGTTTTAAAAAGGGAGGAACACATCATTTCTTCACTATTTATCATCACCTTTTGTCTATCGAAATCTGAAACGAATCAGTTGGATGAAGAGACGCAACTTCCTCAACAGCTAGAGTCACGCTTGGACAACCAAAACTAAACAGTGATGTCACTCATCCCTGTTCTTTGAAACGTTTTGGTATGTCCTGTGAGATGTTCCAGTCCGGTGGAAGGAAAAGGGGAACGTGAATTACATTGATTCTCACTTTGCTACTACCTTTGTTTTTTCCTACTTAGCCCAACTGCATATGAATTAGCCATCATTGTGGAGTTCTGAGAATCGTAAAGAGTGGGTTTCTTGGTGTGCTGGACTACAGTCAGTGAGATAAAAGATTCTACCGGCTCACAGGGGGATGGACTGTCTGTACCTGCACTTTTTCACTGTTTTTTATTTATTTTTTGATTACAGCTTGATTCCACACTGCATTTTAGGTACGAGTATGGAATTTTCAGCATGGATATCGGTAGCCCAAATTTTGCAGGCCGATCATAAATATCAGGTGTGCGTCGGCAGGGGATCGAAACTCGGACTATGTGCGTGGTCGGCGAGAGTCCTAACCACTGTGCCACCAACCCACTAGACTGGTGCGGACTAAAATCACAGATCATAAGGCGTCGACACTTTGACACCTACCAGCCTTGTTCCTCTTCGAAAACATCACTTCCAGATCAACCACAGTCAATAAACTTCGCGAACATTTTCCCCTTGTATTTTGGCCTGAAATGTAGAAGTCTTAATTATTCTCTGTGTTGGGCCGCTTCTGTGCTAAGAAATGTCGAGGTGCAACGACAGAAAACAAGGGCCAGGCAGCAGATCGTCTGTTCAGAATATCGAGATATATTTAAAGTTTTTGTGTACATTCTTGTTCGTTATTGTTAGGAGAGAAGCGACGTCTTCTGATTGGTTGTTTTCTTGCTGTAGGTCATTCTGCAATGCTTGTGACCGTTCCTCGGAAAGTCAAGCTATATATCCGCGAATCGTATTTGCACACATCAAGCCATCCGTGACTGGTCGGTGAGTGCTTCAAGGTTAAGCTTTGCTACTGTTTCTCCTCATGAATCCGGTTCGGGACGTAACACTGACGTAAACTGCTGTCTAAAATTTTTGGCTTGTAGCCAGCTTTCACCACAAAGGTACATGACAACTCCAAACCTTTGTGTGTCCAGTAAATGAAGGAATTCCGAAGACTAGCTTCTCTGTCATTTATTTCAGGTGTTAGCTGATAATTTTAGAACGAAAACAACCATGTATCGGGGTACCAAGTCCATCTTATGGTACACCAATTAACACGAAATAATACACCTGGCCGGCGCACTGCTTTACCTCACTGAGCCAGAAATAATGCTGGTAAAGAGGAAAGGTTGGGCATGAGGCTAGCAACCCCATCCTGTAAAAATTAAACACTGCTACAGAAACTTCAAGCCACTAGCTTGGAGCCCTATGTTCCACTGGGAACGCGAAGGAAAATTTATTATTATTATTAATACACTTGTTAGAGAAGTGAAGTTTGTGACATCTCATGTTCTTCTTCCGAGATAAAGATCTTGGCGTCTATCGAAGAGGTTGCATTTTCTCTGGCTGCACTTTGGACCTTACTCAAGTGATGACTTCCCACTCCTCATAAATGATCCCTTTTCTACCTGCTTTCTGAAAGCTTAACATCTTTCTGACTTACAGGAGTGATCGTGTTCAAACAGATAGTGACTTGCTCGTGAGCTTGCTGCCTTCCTGCTGAGGATGGATCCATTCAGGTCAAACCTGAAGCTCTCATTGAGGCATATTCTGGGGTTTGCAACGTGCTGACAGAGTCGTAAGTACCTCAGATACGGTCATTTTTGTGATTCTCTAGTGCTACATTGAGCGTCAATATTGCCTTTAGCATGAGCTGCCAGTGTTCGAGGAGTTAGTGGCAGCATTTACACACCACCAAGTTTGGCTGGCACAATTTTGTAGAAAATCCGGCAACAGTCATTACATTGTATACGTCACTCACAGAAGAATAAAACATTCTAGGAACCATAAATGGTTTGAAAATTTATGAAATTCTACAGTAACCAATAAGTGCAGCGCTATTTCGATATTAGCAGATTTATGAGGCCAATTTGCGATGATAAACAGATTTCATAACGGAGGTCGTTCCGATATTCATCGTAAATGCTGAAATTAATCTGAATACCTGCCAAATATAGGTTCTAATGATTTTAACACTCCATTCGACTGACACTAATGTAGATGGAGCATTACTGCACATATGCAGTGCTTGAATGCAGCACCTGTGAAAAGAGATGACTAAAGAAGGCAGCATTAGAGATGCGGAAGCAGACAGCAAATGTTAACAATTTAAAACAAACAATATTTGGTGACCGCATTGTTCGTTCCTCATTTTATTACGTTAATTTACGGTCACTGAATTTTATAGTGTTATCCATTAACGGTTAGTTTTACTGCGTGGTAGTAAAAAAGAGACTAAAAAGGCTGATTGGCCGTACCGATGTAGGGCAATGGTGGGAACAGACACGGAAACTTGGTTGGTAACGTAGAGAATTCAGAACCAACGCAGTAACGGAGACCGAGGTCAAGCAACAAAGGAAGAATGATGGTTGGCTTGTCGTACATAGTTATGTGTAATGCGATACGGTGAGCTGAGCATAAAGATCACACTTCTCCACGTTGATCTGCATCATACACGACTTCCACCAAGTCTCAATATTATCAATATCCGGTTGTATCTTATTAGATAGATTTGTTACTTCTCTGGTGTTACTATGGTAAATCACCCTTAAGTCATCTGTAAATAGGAACGGTCTGCCATGCTTTACAACATCACAGACACCATTTAGCTTTGTACGAAAGAAGAGAGGTTGTCAAGGAACTTATCCCTAAGTTCCTATTGTTACGAAGACGCTCTGCATCGATAAATGCCATGTACTTTCTTCAGCTTTAACTCCCAAACACCAGTATTGTAGGAAGGAAGTTATATTGTTTGGCAATCAAAGCGGAGAATAATACAAGTCTATAAACAAATGTTTTATACATATTTATTATGTATTTTTATTCGTTTTTGTGCGTCTTCGTTGAACTTATACAGGATCGAACCATTCGCGCCTTCGAGTTGCCCACCAATAGCTACCAGCTCCAAAAACAAACGTTTAGTGTTCACGTCCATTGACAGAGGTCCTGGTACACTACCTTGATTTGGGCCGCTTGATGTGCGTCGGTGACACAGTGGTTAAGACTCCCGCCGACCATGTACATGGTCCAGGGTTAGAGCCCCTGCTGACGCACACCTGATATCTATGGTTGGCCTGCAAAATTTGGGCTACCGATATCACATGCTGAATATTCCATACCTGCACCGAAAATACGGTGTGGCATCAAGCTGTAATAAAAAAATCAAAAAAATAGATTGAGGCCGACCACATACAAATGAGTTACACCACTGTAAAAGATTACCAGCTATGTTGTAAGCTTATGATTTTTCAGGCGTAAACTATGACACACCATATCTAGTGCCTTCTTAAGATCAATATATATAATAGGTACAATGAATTTTTTATCTGTAAGCCCAATGATGAGTTCAATAGTTCCAAGAGGCATGTCATACATGACCTGGACCTTATAAAACCGTGCTGAGAAGGTATCACGAGGTTTTCAGTCAATAAAAAGTCGGTGATTCCAGAACTGATTATCCTCTTAAGTGTCCTTGACAAGGCAGATGTCATAGTGATCGGCCCATAATTCTTTACATAGTAGGTTGACTAAATGGAGTGTTATAAAATTGGTTTAGGCGTTGAATATGTGTTTGTGGAGCAGTAGCACTTATTAGGTGGACCACCAAGCAGACCATGCCGAAAGTTTGGGCAACTGAGTTCATTAGGCTGTGAGCCTGTATTATGAGCGTAGCTGAAGTCGGTATTATGCCTCCTCATAGTAAAAGTTGGGTGGCTACAGTTAGTCCTGTTAAAATGACGACGACAATGGAGGCAGAAGCTTTGACTAATCTCAGCTATATTTGATACACCAGAAGTCCCTTCCGGAAATTTAAGCTCATGAGAAATGAATGAAGCTAAAGCAGACTTGTTAGAGTGCATGCCACGCGCAGGAATTTTCTCCCTTACGTTTGTACACAGAATCCTAGGCTAAACGAGGTTTACGAGGGTCTTTGATATTTTTAGTAGGGTAGGTATGATTTTTATTGGCACTTTCCAAGTTGTCTGATAACTAGAGAAATATTGAATTTAGTATTGGTAGCCGGGTCAAGCTTCATTTTTGAGTCAATACGTAGAAGTTTCCTGTAAGGTTATAATAATATATTTATTCCTATCTATGTAGGACACATCAGTTGTACAGTCATCATCAGTACCCACCTACAGGGGTCCCAATGGTTTTCTAAATGATGTCAGCTCATGATGAAGTCCTCCAACCAATCAAACATATCCCTTTAAAACCAATACTTGAAAACATCCTTGAAGGGTTGTGTTATATTCTCCATTCACTATGTGAGGCTATGTGAAGAGCAGCGTGGCCAACGGGTTAGGTGAGCTGAAGTACATGTTTGGTAGGACAGATGGCCACGCGACAGCCATACACGTCACTTTTAGTTGAAGCCAACCGGAAATAAGCTTGAAATCGTTCAAGAGGCGTAACTAAGTCGTTTTCTAGACAGCCATACAGCTTCAAAATATGTAAAGGGTGCGAAGGTGAAAACAACTCGTCGTTCTGGCGATGAAAGAAATATTCCCAGCAGTATATGTTAGAGAAAGTGTCTCATAAGCCTAATTTACATGTATTGAAGGAGATAAAAATAACATAGACACAGTTGGACCTAATTTAATGTGTTTATTCCTGTCCACGCAAGAAAACAACAGTTGAACAGACATTGATAAGTATTACTCAATTTTCATAAGCTTGGTTTA